GTGGGGGAGGAATAGCCTACTAAACCTAGGATTGTGAGTTCAATCCTTGAGGGGGCCACTTAGGGATCTGGGGCAAAACTGGTCCTGCTAGTGAAGGCAGGGGGCTGGACTCAATGACCTTTCAAGGTCCCTTCCAGCTCTATGAGATAGGTATATCTCAATATATAAACTGAACTCTAGTTAATTCTTTCTGTTTATCTAGTCTTGTAAGCTGAGGCAAGAATTTTTCCTATACGCATTAAAACACTGAGAAACAAATTGCCATATCCTATTATAAACAATAAACAGCACCAATGAAATGTATCTGTGTATGAGGAGCTCCATTTCTAGTTAGAGACCAGACTCAGCCATAAGGCCTGAGTCTGTCCTCGTGTAAACCAATGTAAACCCAGAATAACTCCACTGAAGTCACTGGAATTACACAGGCATAAGACAGGTGTGAGAGCAGAATTGGGACCTATATGGTAACACTTAGATCTGCTTCCAAACATCCCCAAAGTTCAGATGTGTTTGCAGAGGTGATTTCAGTCTCTGGAAGCTTGCTTCACAGCCAAACTTCCTCAACCAAGATCACTTTATCTGTGGCTCTCACACATTTCATCCTGGGCTTTGTCCCAGAGGAATGATGGATCATGGCTGTAGGGGTTTGAAAGGCTGTTGAGGGACCCCGTTGAGAGGTTTAAAGCTTAGGAATCAATGATACCATCCAAATCCTTTTTGGTTCATATCACAACACACGTCATTTGGTAAAGAGCTGTCTTTGTCCAGCAAGGCTCAGGACTGCATTAGTCAAGTGTTCCTGGTCAGCACTGGAAAGGCAAAGATGTTACAGGACAGGATTGAGGTACATTGAGGAAACTTGCACATCACTTGCCTGCAGTTTTCTGGACTGAAGCCATTAGTAAAACCATCCTGGAGAAAACAGAGAATCCTCTATATGTTAAAGTGCAATCACTGATTTTTAACAACTTGCTTTAGAACAGGGTTACTGTTGTAAGTTCATCTCTACCCCAATATAACGCGACCCGATATAACACTAATTCGGATATAACATGGTAGGCAGTGCTCCGGAGGGGCGGGGCTGCGCACTCCGGTGGATCAAAGCAAGTTCGATATAACGCGGTTTCACCTATAACACAGTAAGATTTTTTGGCTCCCGAGGACAGCGTTATATCGGGGTAGAGGTGTACATATAATTACCCATTCAGTGTCTAGCAGCAAGTTATCCTTCTGTACAGAGATGGCTCTGAACAAACTCCACCAGATTCTAACCCTGGATCTGGTCTAGGTTTGGATGTGAATTCAGAGCACAGACCTGCCTATAATGGACTGAACATGCATGTAAATTGCAAATACCCGATCCCTGGGGAAAATCTGCATTTCATTTTCATACTCACAAGTTTTTGAAGTGTTTAAATCCACGGGAATTTTTCTCGGCCCATTATGGGGAGAGACAATTTGGATTGTGAGTTGTGATTCAGGCCCATCTCCATGTATAGCTAAGCTTTTATTTTCCCAAGGCAGATAATGGTACTTTAAATGAGTAATTTCATGAAATGTATCTCTCCCCTGCCTTGAGTAATCGAATTTTAAGGTGTTCCTTTAATTGTGCTATGGATTGAATTTGGAATGCATTGGCCCATTACAGGAACAGGTTTGTTTCATAGGTGAATGTCAGCCTTATGCCAAGATACAGCAGAAAATAAAATGATACCTCAACAGCTGCCTTTGCTCTTTCAAATTCCTCCTCCAAGGAATGATTTCTGGAGAGGAGTGAACCTCCCCAACGCTGCTCTTTGGTTGATCGTGCCTTAAAGAAATAAAGAATAAATAAGAAAGGATGACACGCTTTGTCATAAACTTTCAAGTTCCTTCTCTTTCTTTCTTCACTAGTGTTGAAAGTGACCTTCATCTGGTGCGATGCTGTGTGTTTCCCTATGTGAATCCCCACCAACACTGGACACAGCTTTAGCAGTGTCCCCTGCCTCAGTGGAGCAAAGTAACGTCTCATTCCCTAGAGTTTCCTTTTCACTCGGGATTTAGACATGATGAACAATCCCAGCTTTGGTTGTGAAAGTAGATCCAAAATAGTCCCTTGAAGCTTCAGAGAAAATGAACTTCAGAATGGTTAAAAACACTGTGTAACATTAAAAGCTTGTGCCTTGAATAAGCTATCATCACACCTCCCCTTCCTCCCGCCCCCCTCCCCCCCCCCGCCCTGCAGGTTCATTTTGCTTCATTCTGCAAGACAGAAATGTAGCTGTTGAAATTCCTAATAGGAGAGCTGTCACACAGGTACCATTTCATTTTTTAATGGACTGTATTCAACATGATTAATACTTCGTTTAAGTAGTTGAAAGTTTATATTTGAGAACTGGATCCTGTACAGTTCAGCCTCTATTACCTGAACCCCTTGTGTTATCACCCCAAACTCCCCGTTATCTAAAACAGGGTCACATTCTCTGGTACCTGTTAGTTACACTAACAATCCCCTTGACTGTCTGAAAGCTTCATTTTCTGAATGTATGCCATGTTCCCTGAAATTATCATGTAATCTCACTGTAGCCATTTCTGTAAATTACAATCTACTTGAAGAGACATTCAAGTGGATTTGTATTTTATTTTTTTTCAAATAGACATTAATTTAAAAGACACAAGGTGGGTGATATATTATCTTTTATCTTCTCCAATAAACAATATTACCTGCCCCAACTTGTCTCTCTAATATCCTGGGACCGACATGGCTACAATACCACTACATACATTTTTTTTAAGAGACCCAAAATACACAGTACACCCCTGCCTCTGTCTGCAAGTCTTTTACAATGAAAAATCAGTGCGTGAGAGGTCTGAGTTGTAAATATATGTGGAGAGGACTTTCCTTATGATGATAAAAGGATGTGGGATTGGTTGGCACACAGGAAATGCATGGGACAGATAAACAAACCTCACAATCGGCAGTTTTCTCACTCTTATCTAAGTGATTCAGAATGGGCAGAAGAGGATTTCTAGACAGTTCTTGGATTTTGGGTGGGGACTACAAAGAGAGTAGGGAGACATCTTGAAGGGGAAAAGTGAGAAAGTTAGGCTACGGAAGGAGTATTTGGCTGCTATTTTGTTTGCTTCTACTATTGTTCTTTCATAATGGAGGTGCATTTAATTCCCTATCCTCTGCAGGAGAAAGTTGTACCTGTTTTCTCTGCACTTGCTGTATCTGTTTGTCAGGCTGTGTCCTGAGGTTCAGGAACACTAGTACAAATACCTCCTTTGTATTGATTTTCTCTAAGCCTTGAGTACCTTGAAGACTTCAGTTATAATAAGAGATGACTCCGAAATGCAGGGCTCAGACCTAAATCCAGGTCTAGGCTTTCCCAAAGGCTCGGGGAATAAGCTCTGGGGTGTTCTTCCAGCTCTACAGATAATGGACCTGAGTCACCAATGTGTGAAACTGGAAGACCGCAATGGTGAATTGGGTTCAGTGACCAGTCATGGATTTTTGGATCCAGATGTGAACTTTCCCAAAGTTGGGGGGAGGGTGGGGATTTGGATTGTAGGATTAGATTTGGGGTATCTTTAATATCAACATCCTGTCCCATGTTTTATGTTCAACAGGTACAATCTCTATTGCCTGACCATCCTGCATACTTTAATTCTCCTCCTCCCTTCATTGTTCTTCCCCTGAAGACCCTTTCCGCTAGTCCTGCCTATAGCATATGCCACCCTAATTTTAAATAGATTATTCTTTGTGTGTCTTAACAACACATTAGAAAACATCTCTCTCTCTTTGTCTCTACTTGCACATTCCAGAGCTTGGTTTACCACTGTTACTGTGACTGCATAGGCAGAGCTGAAGGGATGATTGTTGTTTTTGACATCCCTAGCACACTCTTCTCTCCACTCTATCCCACTGGAAGCACATTAGTAATGTCCTCTACAACTATTCTTTTATTAAAATAATTCTAATTATGCTTTTGTACAAAAGGCACAGTGCAAAGAACTATGTTAAGTCACTGCAAGGAAAACCACATGGTGACCTCTAGCCTTGCCAAATAGAAATTGCTCTCTGACTCCACTAATCCCTTACCCCCATACTTGCCTAAGGTTAAAACTCATTAGCTATTTGTCTGCCCATGGTCCCAACTGCATTAATTTACATGATTATATTTCTGATGGTTGTACTTGGTGATATTCAATTACAATGAACCAGATTCATCCCTGATGTAACTTCACTCCTTTGAAATTCAGGTTTGAACCTGACAAAATGTGTTGTATCAGCAAGTGCTGTACGGGCATTGTTGTGATGAAGTAACCTAATCAGAAGTATACCTATAAGCAAATGTACAGAATTCATCTCCAGGAGAAGCAGCACTTTGCCATATTCTTAATGCACAGTCTCAATACCTAAATATTTTTCTCTTTTTGGGGAAGGATACTGACAAACAGGGCCGGCTCTAGGCACCAGCAAAACAAGCTGGTGCTTGGGGCAGCACATTTCTAGGGGCAGCCTTCTGGCCGCCCCTAAAAATGTGCCCCGGCCGCCCTAGCTCACCTCCGCTGCTGCCGCTTGCACACCACGGCTCGTGAAACAGCTGATTCGTGCGCCGCTGCTTGCCCTCCCTCCCAGGCTCTCAAACCTGGGAGGGAGGGC